TGGGGGGGGGAAGGGGGAGATGGATGGACAGACAGAAACAACAGATGGGGAAGAAAAAAGACAGACCTTCTACTGGCACTCTCCAACCACCTGGTGTAACAGACCAACAAAGACATGAATGAGAGTGAACAACTAGCATCAGTGTGCCTCACTAACAAGTACCAATGCGCATGGTTGCAAGCTTTAACTCTCCTCCTTTTTTATGTTTGTTGCTCCCCACACACATATACTCACCAGTGACACCCTCCACCAACCCACGCACACACAAACTCACCAGTGACACCCTCCACCCACCCACACACACAAATATATTCACCAGTGACACCCTCTACCCACCCACACACACACAAAACTCACCAGTGACACCCTCCACCTACCCTCACACACATAATAACATACTCACCAGTGACACCCTACACCCACCCACCTACACATACACACAAACTCACCAGTGCTGAGAGGCAAAGCCGAAGCAGGTCAGCTGGATGATCTCAAAGACCAGGCCAAACATGATTGTCTGCTTGTGGCCGATGTACTTCATTAACAGGGCTAATATTAAAGTCTGCAGAGAGAAGCAAACACAACAGACAATTTTACATGTGCATGTAAAAAAATCTTAATTAGCAGGGCTTATAATACAACAAAATATAGAAAAGTCTGCAGAGGAAAACAAATACAAAAGACTTTATGTGTGCACAAAAAACTACATTAACAGGACTAATAATACAAGAAAAAAATTATATATAAATTTACGAATGGAGACAAATACAAAACTCGTTTTAATAGGGCCACAATCTGCCTTTCCATATTCAGGGTTTTCAACAGGAATACTTCAAAATCTCAAAATAAAATGATAGTTACTTGACCAGAAAAGTCTGTGTGAAAGTTTTTGAGAGTTTAAGTAAAGAGAAGCACATTGATGCAAGAACAACCAATTAGTTGCTTAAAGCAAAACACACAGACAGAAACAGTGAAGGGAATGAAAAGAAGAAGCAAGAGGGCATGACTCAGAGGGTTAACTATCTGTGGTAGTTCAAAGTTTGAAAGCAAAATGCCTTAAAAAGAAGAAAAAAAAATCCCTCCCATTAATTGATTGAGCTGCATTACAGTGTACCAACACATCTCTAACAAAACAAAATAAAAATGTTTTAAAATTTTTCAAAAAAATAAAAACCTGGACTCAAATCCCCC